AAAAAAAGGATTGTAGAAATCATAGATCAGTCAATGTGAAAGTAAACGAGATGAAGCAAGACACATGGACTGACCTGACCACATTTCCCAAATGATCTTAGTCTGACTCGCAGTCGTTGTTACATTTTAAATTTCTCACTTGAATCTACTCATTCAATTTTTAAGCATGCATTGTAAACCCCACTCCATAACCTAACCCTCGCACTAACCCTACACTCCATCGCCCACCAAATGAATAGTGTATGCCCCTCTAGTTATCTAGAGGTACATATACACTTGAATTGGGAGCGAGAGGGTTAGAGTTTGAGGTTGGATAAAGAAGGGGGTACGGAAAGTCTTTCTAGAATTGTTTACAATACAAACAATAATGTGAAATAAGGCAAAACAGTGCACATCAGCACGAGACGTGTCAATGTTGTTTTGATTTAAAATAGATACATGTATATGGTGAAATGGTGAATCAATCAAATTTTGATGCTTACAGAATCAGGAAATGAAATTGTTGTTAGGTAATAACTTAAAATTTCCTGCCATCATATGAAGGCCTCTTGCCCAATGACCACCATTCTTAATGACAGTATATGGTACTGCAACTAGACATTTAATTCAAAACAGTACAGTACGATATGAACTTACTGCTTTAAAACAAGCTTTCAATACACAATGCCCAAGATTTGGCTGCCACTGTAATTTACGCCCACTGTGCTTACTGAGGTAAAATTTTTTAAATACTTCTTGAAATTGCACCATCTAAGAAAGGATCAGACAAAGAACAACATTATTGGGACAATCACCAAATATCATATTTATTCACAGCTAATACTAGTAACAGACTGAGGTATTGTGAGAAAAAAAATACCTAGAAAAAATGATAAATATTGCTTTGGCTAATACAATGTTATTTCTTGTACTAGCTGTAAATGACCTCTTTCTCAGGACTGCAATTTGATCAGCAAACATGAGTGGATGATTGTGACAAATAGACTTATGGCAGAGTTGTAAGCACAGTGCCATCTCCATTGGTCATAATTCATGACAGGCACTCATTATTATGAAATACGTTGATGTACTTATAAAGTACTATATGAATATCTGATCACAAAATAAATATTTTAATTCAAAATTTATTGTGTAGACCTTGATGTTATTAGATAACATTGCTGCACAGTGTAGACATAATAGTAGAACTGTGACATGGTTTCAGGAACAGTTCTGGTTCCAATCTCTGTTGATATTGAAAAATATTAATAAACGTCTGTTTTAAAATAAATGTTGGCCAACAAATATTATGCTATATTGTTAAGTACAGTAAAAACTTGTGTGTAACATGACACTCATTGCATAAAATTAGATTTCTAATTGGATCTTACAAAGTTCATCATGATTGAGATAAACAATAATAATTTTTTTTTTAAATAGAAATCGCACCTTGCATTTTTTTTGCATTGTTTGATTGATTGCAGTACTCGGACACATTGTATATTTCAATTCCCAGGAAGTTTAATTGTTTAAGATATCACCAGACTTTATTGGTAAATAGTTTTTTATTTCACCACCCAATGTCGCTTAGTAAGTAACAATCATATATTTTAGGGCTGTCGGTAGACTAAACGTTTGATATCTCCCCCCCCCCAATAAAATCAAATGACAAAAATTTATTCCAGGTTCAATCAATTTTAACATGTAAAAGCATTAGCATTTAGTAATTTAAGCACTTGCACAAAATAGTTTTACAACTGAGTTTTCATCATGAATTCAACTATTGTAATCTTTCTGCAAACATGAGGGATTAAAAATATTCAACACTTGCCGAGATCATGTAACATGAATGTAGCTAATTGCTAATAAGATACTGTAGAATATTTTATTTTCGCTTGGAATTTATTTTCGCTATTTTCGCTGAAGGGATGATTTTCTGAAAATAAAATCCAGCGAATATACTTCTTTTCCTATATTTCACATTAAACTCATCAAAAATCAGTGAAAATAAATTCCATACAAAACACCCAAAAAGCCTTTTCAGCGAAAATTAATTCCAGCGAAAATAAAGTATTCCACAGTAGATACACATATAGCACTAGGCTGACCATCAGAGAAGAAGGACATTGATCTTCATTCTCTTGACTTGTAACTTACCTCAGTTGGGAGATGAACTTCCATTGGTGTATATGTTGGCCAATAACCCATTGTTAGAATGTTAACTGTTAATTCTATATTGCCTGGGTTTTGCTGGTATTGTATGCTCTGGGGGAAAAAATTACCATAAATTAGACATCTGTATGGATTATAAAAACTATATTGATCACAGTCCCTGTTAGTTACTAAATTTAAGATATATAGTTTTGTTTTTAGTAATATAGTTTGAACATAAACATGATTGATTATGATGACATTTATGCATCATGTGTCTGATCATTAAACGAGCACTTAATATTGGGAAATATTGCTCTGGAAAAGCAATCCAATATGAAAAACAAATTGACGTGCATCAAAGATCCATAATGTCTAATGTATGTACCAAGTTTGAACAAAATCTATCTGTAAACAGCCAAGATCCGGTTCCGGAATACCAGTAATGCTTGATTTTGAAGATTTTTCATCAGTCCAGGCAGTCCAAGATACAAGTCCACAACAGAATGAATGAAAGCAGTTAGAGACATCTCCAGTTTTCAGAAACTAAAATGGCCACCAGATCATAGACTGAATTCAGTCTATTAACAACATGGTTAATTCTGAGATAAACACACCCACTTTGTGACTACTAAAACTAACTATATGCCCTGATGTACTGGATTCAATGTCAACAATTTTACATGAGTGTAGTAATCAAGTCGACCAATGAATCCAAGATACAGAATGCTTGTTCTAATGTCTGTGTACCAAATTCATATTGATGAAAACAAAATAATCTATACAACACAAAACCACTTGACTAGTCTCCTTTTCAGACGTCTGTTTGCAGCTAACAAGTGATTTGATGCATATACAATGTTAAATTCTTATTTTCAGTGATGTACATGTACCTGTTTGAATGCTACCATAATATCTTTTGATAATTCCATGTCTTTAAACATTCCTTCCAGTTTACTCGTAAAACCACCACCACATTCTGAAATAAATAAAATATTAAATAAATCTTAAACAGACACTTGCAAGTGATACCAATCTGTGTAAAACATGGTGAGCTACATGCAGCTCAGCTATAAAACAAGGCAACTTATGGAAAAGGAGCACAAACTTAAATTCCTGTTACTCATGGCCAAAACAAGCATTGTCAATGCACAATCAAACTTGGTGTTTAATACATATTACATGTAGATATACATGTCTACCAAAGGACTGTATGCATCATATGTATATCAATTTAAATTAAGTATGACTGGAAGTTCATGAACAAAATATTTAACTTTGTTTAAGCTTTGATAACATAACTTAGATTATTATACATCTGTCACTGTAACACCGTAAGTTACAGCATGTTGTAATTTTGTGGTATTGTACTGGGTATTTTCATCCTACCATATTAGGAAATGAGAGTTCCAAATATTGAATGATTATGCACGTATGCGGCCCCCAAGGGTTTGACCAGACCCCCACACAAAGAAGTTTGCTAAATTTGTTATAAACTTTTTGAATTTTGGCATTCCCATGATGTATCATTGGGAGGAGAAGATGTATAATAATAAGGTTATTACAAGGATACCGGAAAGTATGAACTCAGAGAGTATGTCGTTGCATCGACCTCTGCTGCATATCAGTCGATACTCCCGCTGTACTGTCTTCATGCACACTTTTTAGTATATTCATAATAACCACATAATGATATTATAATTGCATACACTTTGTCTAAGTTTTGATAACATGACTTGAATATTATTGCACTCACCTTGTTTAAGTTTTGATAACATGACTTGAATATTATTGCACTCACCTTGTCTAAGTTTTGATAACATGACTTGAATATTATTGCACTCACCTTGTCTAAGTTTTGATAACATGACTTGAATATTATTGCACTCACCTTGTC